CATTTCCAAAATTACGTCAGAGATAACAGTGTTGGGTGGCCACCTCTTGGGGGTCCCTTTTTCTCTCTCCTGTCACTTTCTCTTTCTCCTGTAGCTCCTTCCCACTTTTTTTCCTCAGAAGGCCAAGGCAATTTGGCATGTGAAGCCTTGAGAGTAAACTTTGTATATTTCAGTCATTTTTTTATATTTTGCCTTTCATCTATTTATGGATTTATAAACTTTATTAATAAAGATGTTTATTTTTAAAAATACATACATATATACTATAAAGTCTACAATATATACATATATGTATATATGTATACATATATGCGTATATATGTGTGTATGTGTGTGTGTGTGTGTGTGTGTGTATATATATATATATATATGGACTGGTGTTATGGGTATGGAATATGTGTGTGTATGTACACATATATTCCATACCCATATCACCAGTCCCATATCACCTTTTGAACATCTTGAATTGGATGTCCTACAATCATCTCAAAGGCAATATACCCAAAATAAAAATCATTATCTTTCCCCCCCCAAATCCTCCACTTATCTAGGCTTCCCTAATAGTGTCAAGGTTGCTACCAACCTCATAGTCTCTCAGGCTTGAGACATCTTCCTCACTACCTCTGTCAGCTCACATAGGCCAAGCTGTTGCCAAATTTTGTGTTTTCTAGCTTCACAACATCTCTCATATGTATCCCCTTCTCTACACACACACATACACACACACACACACACACACACACACACAGAGTCATCCTTGTTCAGATCATCCTCACTTCTCATCCATACTATCACAATAGTCTTCTAATTTGTCTCCCTGTCTCAAGTCGCTCCCCATTCCAACCTATCTTCCATTCAACTGCCAAAGTGATTTCTCTGCCTCCTCCCTCAATAAACTCCAGCAAGCTACCTACTGCTTCCAGGGTCAAACATAAAGTCCTCTGTCTGGTATTTAAGACTCTTTGCAATCTGGAATTTTCTTCCCTTTCTACCTTCTCAGGCTTTACTTTCCTCCACATACTCTACAGTCTGGCCTCCTTGTTGTTTCATACACAGGACACTCCATCTGCAGTCTCAATGCTTTTGAGTCACACCTCTCTCTCTTTACATCCCTGGATTCTTTCATTATTTAATTCAAATACACAGCAAGCACTTAATAAATGCTGACTGAAGGATTGACTGAATCAGAACTTTAGAATCTTAGAGCTAGAAAGAACCCTGGAAATCATGTAGTTGAACCTTCCTCAAGATGAGTAACCTAAGGTGATAGAACTAAAGTGAGATTCTCCTTTACTATAATTTCCTAAAGGGAAGAGATTATCATTTCTCATCTCTATGTCCCCAGCTTCTAGCATAATGCCTTGTATGTATTAGGGACTTAATAAAGTTTATTCAATTAAATTGCCTAGGTCATACAGCTAGTTTGTTGGCAGAAGTGGGACTAGAACCACTCAGCTTAGTTTTCTTCCACTACACCAAATGAAATCTGGGGTGTGAGACAGAGGAAGGCATCAAAGACATCTCCAAGGTTACCAATCTGGCTAGGTGGGAGAACAGTGCTGTCACTGACAGAAATACAGAAGGCAAAAGTAATGTATGGTTTCAGAAGAGAAAGATTCAATTCAACAAAATCAAAATGACAAAAAAAATTTAAGTACCTGCTGTATACAAAGGACCACACTTGGTGTTGTGGCAAAGGACAAGTTTCACTAAGACCCTAACTCCTGACTCAGTGACCTTATAGAGGAAATCTAATTTAAGACATGCTGAGCAGAATAAACCTACCTCATAATATTTCAACATTTAGTAATATGTCCTCTTGTCTCTTCAAAAAGCAAATTGCAAATGTAAAGAAGAGATATCTACACTAAAAATTATACCAGAGGTATATTTTTTTAAAAAACAGAAAATTATTTGCTTACACTAACATGGCCCTTGGACTTTTCTAGCTTTTACTAATGATAGTCCTTCTGAAATGTCACATCTGACTATATGAATAGAACTCCAAGAAATTCCTTATAGACTTTGAGGTGAGGGAAATAGAGAAAAACATGCCAGTATTGTAGGAAAAGATAAAGATTATTATATTATTATCATTATATTTTTATAATGAGGCCATCCTAATAAAAGATAATAAATAATAATAGCTTTGAGGTCATCTAGTCCTATGTACCTCTTCATTTTAGAGGAGAAAACTGAGACCCAAGGAAGGGAAGTGACTTAACCAAAGCCACACCTTTCATGAAAAACTTCATCTAGAACCTAGGCCTCTTGACTTCCATTCTAATAGTCTTTTCATCATGCTGCTTCTAAACCCAAAAGCCTTCCAAATGCTAGGCAGTTTAATGGTTTTCCTAAGGCTCAGAAACTGAATCAAGTACAATTAAAATCTAGTATCTAGAGACAGAAGGGGAGTTTCCAAGATGGACTCCCAGTACCCATTGTTGGGCCAGTCTACAATAAAGCCACTGATTGGGAGGGACCCAGAAGTAGCTACTTATAGGAAATGGGAAGAAATGCAGAAAAAAAGGGAAAAAAAATTACCTTAATTTGTTATCAGACCTATGCAAAGTAAGATAGGTCTGGCCAATTCCTGCTGTGCTATTATATCACTTATTCCTAAAGTGGTAGGCTATTGCTCTTTCTTCTTCTTACCCTAGCAAAATAATAGAAGGCCAGAGTGACAGACATGGAGTCAGACAACCTAGATTCAAATCCCAGCTCTCATACTTAGCTATTTGACTTCAGTCAATTCATTTAACTCCCCTGAGATTCACTGTCCCCATCTTGAAAAGGAAGGTAATGTATTTGCAGTATCTACCTCACAGGATTGCTCTGAAAAAAGCACTTTGGAACAACTCTGCTTATTAGGAAGGTTTTCCTTGTATTATGACAAAACTTAACAGAGTTCAATTCTTTTATTTGACCTGGGAGGCAACTGAGAACAGAAAGGGAAGGTTACTTGTCTATGATCATACAATGAGTTAGCTCCTGAGCTGGGACTAAAACCCAGAGGCCAGATCTTTCTGAAACTTTGAAGAGTGTTTGCTTTTCAAGACAGAGGTCCCAGGAGCAATTGCTCAATCCTTCAGACCAGGGCTTTTGTTTTTGCACCAGAGACTGTCATGGTACCACGTGTGTCTGTGTCTCCTTGGAGAACTACATTGAGGCAAATGAAGAAAGCACAGCAGGCTGCATCTGTTACTCTGCACAGATTGTCTTCCAACTTTTGTTACTGAGAGAATTCTCACCCCACACACATTCGTTATTTCTATGCAGAAAGGATTTTATTGTCCCCTCTTGGATTCCATGCCATATCAAGCCATATTTTATTTCCAGACAAGACAGAGGAAACCCCTTAACTAAAGATCTGGACCAAAGGACTTCAGATGTATCCTAAGAGAGAAACGTTTTCTCTTAGAGGAAGACCTGTAATAATGACAGGATGCCTTGTGGGTTGTAATGGAGCATCTCTTGAGATGTGATTATTTTATCAGCTGCTTCCCCTTGTTCCATGTAACTTACTTTCCCATCATTCCCTCCTTGTAATACAGCCAGGCACAAAGCAGATCTCAGCCTGGTGGTTGGTGCTGATGAAGTTTGAATGTTGGTTACCCTCCTGTTTTCAGAGATTGTAGGATCAAAAGCTTAAGAGCTGAAAGGGACCTGAGATCACCCAATACAACACTTCATTTTCCAGATAAGGCAACTAAAGCCCAGAGAAACTGATAATTTACCAATGCCACATATATAATAAATAATAGAGCAAAGATTCAAATCTAAATTCTCTCATTCTTAAATCAGTGTACTTTCCACTGCATCATATTATTTCTTCTAGGACCTTACCTCAATTCTGAACTTGAGTGTGATGAAGGGGGGAAAAAATACCAAAACAATAAAAAAAGATACATTTGGCCTGATAGGAATCCTTTTCCAAAAGCCAGTCATCATCTCCCTTTTGCCAAGGCAGGCTTAGATGCAAATAATGATTCTAAACTTCTTTACCTCTCAAGTCTATACTCCACAGACTGTGGAGGTATCACCTTAATCTCTTAGTAGGAGGTATTACCTTAGTCCTTTCGAGTTTAATGTCACTCCACTTCCCTCAAGATGTTTCTCCCTCCAAAGTAGATGACTGTCTACCAAATATGCCTTGTCCTTTCCCATCTGCATGCCTTTGCTTGTATTATTCCCTATGCAATGAATGCCTTCTCTCCCCTTCACCAGTTGAATACCTATCCATTCTGAAAGCCCAACTAAAATATTGCATACTCTATATAACCAACCTGATCTACCCTATCCATAATCCCTTCATTTCCTTCCCTTCCCTTCTTGGACCTCAAAAAGCCCTTTACTTTGCAACTCTTTAATATACTGACCCCATAACTATTGTATGTTACATTTATCTGTTTGTGTCTTGTCACTTTATCAGTCTGTAGGATCTAGGAGGTCAGGGAACACTTTTTTTGTAACTGAGAGAATTCTCACCCTACACACATTCGTTATTTCTATGCATAAAGTGTTTTATTGTTCCCTCTTGGATTCCATGCCATATCAAGGATATTTTATTTCCAGACAAGACAGAAGAAATCCCTTAACTAAAGGTCCTGCCCAAAGAACTTCAGATGTATCCTAAGAGAAACATTTTTCTCTTGGAAGAAGATCTTTAATAATGACAGGATGCCTTGTGTCAAACATTGTGCTAAATACTGGGGATACAAAATGAAGCAAGACAATCCCTGCCCTCAAGGAGCTTACAATCTAACGGGGAAGACAAAATGCAAGCAAATATATACAAAACGAGCAAATATAGGATAAAAAGGAAGTAGTTAACAGAGGAAAAGCACTAGAATTAAGAGGAGCTGGGTCTGTTGAATTGTATTGAATTAAATTGATTATCCCAATGATCCATGGGATATTTTGAAGAAAGCTATAGCTTTTTTTTCTTTGACTTATCACTGACTATGAGGTGCAATGACCATTTTCCTACTTTCTTTCAGTGCTAAAATGATCAACAGCACACGAGGAGTCCTTCAACCTGGAATTAATGAATCATTATTCAATGAGACTGAGAACATCCAGTGTTCTTTTGCTGAATTTTGGGATTGGTTCAACATAATCCAGACCCCATTCCTCTGGATCATCTTTGTGTTGGTCATAGTCGAAAACATGTTCGTTCTGAGTGTGTTCTGTTTACACAAAAGTAGTTGCACAGTGCCTGAAATTTACCTGGGGAACTTAGCTGCTGCTGACCTCATTTTAGGTTTTTGCCTCCCTTTCTGGGCTATTGCCATCTCCAACAACTATCACTGGCCCTTTGGGGAGGTGCTCTGTAAAGCTGTGAACTCCTTTATGTACATGAACTTGTACTGCAGCATTTTTTTCTTGATGGTGGTCAGTGTTGATCGATACTTGGCTCTGGTGAAAACCATGTCTGTGGGCCGAATGCGAGGAACCTGTCATGCCAAATGCTACAGTTTCATCATATGGTTTTTCACAATGATAGTGAGTTCCCCTGTGGTGGCTTTCCGTACACTAAAGGACTACAATGAGGAGGGCCACAATGTCACTGTTTGTCGCTTTGTCTACCCATCGCCCAACTGGGCCATCTTCACCAATATTCTCCTGAACATTGTAGGCTTTGTGCTGCCTCTGTGCATCATCTCCTTCTGCTCTGTGAAAATCATCCGTGTTCTGCAGAACAATGAAATGCAGAAGTTCAAGGAGATCCAGACAGAGAAGAAGGCTGCCATCCTCGTCCAAGTAGTCCTTCTGCTCTTCATCATTTGCTGGCTCCCTTTCCAGGTCAGCACACTGATGGATACCCTCTTTCAGCTAAACGTCATCTCAGGCTGTCAGGCTGAAATTATTATTGATGTGCTTACACAGGTAGGGACATATACTGGTTATAGCAACAGCTTCCTGAACCCTCTGGTGTATGTTTTTGTGGGGAAAAAGTTCCGGAAGAAATCCAAGGAGGTTTACAGAGGATGGTTCAAGATTGGGTGGTGTCAAGCAGACTCAATCCAAACAGAAAATTCGATGAGCACTTTGAAGACCTCCATATCAATGGACCGGCAGATAAACAAACTGCATAGATATCGAGAGGGTAGTCAGTAATTTGTTCTATTTTATTTTTAAAAGACTGTAAAACTATGGCCTTACATATGTTCAGAGTCTTTCTTGATATGTACCAGCTACGGCTGGGGGTCAGACCATACCAGGGGCCAGTCAAAAAGCTTTCACTTTTCTGGAGATGCAGAGCAGTGAAGAGAGGGGAGTAGTAACTGGTCACCCAATTTTACATCCACCTAACCCCTCTTCTACACTGCCTCTGTATGACATCATGGTTCCTCAAAAGAAATGCTGGGCCTGGGAGCTCTCCTGCCCTTCCAGTGACAGAGCAGTCACTGCCCAGGTTGGAGTTGGCCAAATTGTTTTCCCTGAGTTTTCTAAGGATGGTTTCTAAGGATGGAATCCCTGATTAATGAAGATCACCTCCAAGTTTAGTAAGGAAGTTGTTTAGGGATAGAAGACAAGTAGCATTATTTAACTCCCTCTACCTTCTGTATATTCAGGTGAATAACTGAAAGAAGTAAGACATGACTCAGCGCAAGAAAGAGAATCCAAACTAATTCAACAAGTATTCCATGATTGTCTACTATGAGACCTGCACTGCCTCTTGCCCTTGAGCAACAGTTGAGGAGATGATAGAAATGCATGTGACCTTCTAGGGTAATGTGAAAGTAGAAAGAGGCATGATTGAGTAGGGGCTAAAAAAGTTAGGCAAACCTGGGCTCAAGTCCAACCTCTCACACACTAGCTGTACAACCTTGGATGAGTCACCTAACTTCTCAGGGTCCAAGCAATTCTCCAAGAAAAAGAAGTTATCAAGGCCTTGGTAGAACATATCAGCTGCTAAATTACATCAGGGAACTCTAAGAAATGTTCCCATACCAGGCATTCCCCACACCAAAAAGAAGCTACCAATCTCACCTCACTGTCACCTCAGCTCCATTTACCACCACCCCCCCACACAAAGAAAATCAAAAGGTAAAGTTATGTGTGGTACTAGAAAGAATAGAGTACCTGGACATTAGTCTCTGAATTACCACTAGCAGATGGAAGTAGCATAACTAGGCAAATCACTCGCCCTTCCCGTGGTTCCACCTTGCTCATTTGTGAAATAGATGGTGTCAGGATTACATGAGACTAATGGGGAAAGTACACAGAAAAGTGAAATGAGCTAAAACAAAGGCAGACATTACTAGATGGCAGTGCTGGATGAATTCAGCTGAGTAATAATTGTGGATGTAATAGCAAAGGATCATGGAGTTGGAGCTGGAAGGGGCCTTAGGAGTCCAATATGCATGTTTTACAATTTAGGAAATTGAGGCATGGAAAAGTTTATGCCCAAAGTCATAAAACTAGTATGTGGCTTGAGGTAGAATCTGAACCCAGGTTTTCCTGGCTCCAAGTCCAGAGCCCTATTCACCACACCAAGGAAGTGAAATATTGAAAATATTACAGGTCTTCAAATCTTTGTGAAAGGTACCTAAGAGTAGGGGCATTGTATGGTTATCACAGATTAATACCCGCTACAGAAATAACTCCGAAAACTTCAGTTTGTCTCAACAAAGAGCTCTGTGCTAAGCACTACATGTGCTACAAATATGAATTTCAAGACACCATCCCTGTCTTCTTGGAGCTTACAACTACTAAGGGACATAACTAAATAACTATAGTTCAAGTTAAAATACGATAAGGCAAATGTATAGGCAAAGCCACCATTGCCTGAACTGAGCCTTGGAAGTTGACACAGTAGCCAAGCTTGTCCTTCATTTATCTGTATCAGATTCATTATATCTTCAATAGGTACAGTGCCTAATAAAGACTCTTGTGGTGGTTTCTGGGTGAGCTGTTGGAAAAGAGAAAGAAGAAAAGTAGAAATAGTCCTTGCCTTCAAGGATCTTAAGAAACACATATGAGAAGTGAAATCACAATAAAAAGCAACAATACAAAAGACCACAACATAGGGCCACAGCATGTTAGAGGTGGAAGGAATCTTAGCATCATGGAATTTTTAATTACAGAATGCTTAAGTAGGAAGGAGACTTAGAACGTGGAATATTAAAGCTGAAAGGAGTTCTAGAGACTAACTTGTCTAAGCCAAAACCTCATTTTACAGATAAGGAAACTGGTGTCCCAAACGGTAGATTAACTTACTCAAGGTCGTACTGCTAAGGGACATGAGAGCGTTAGAAACAAAAAAACATTGGAGGATTTCAGAGGGGGAAGAAGTCAATTTGGACAGGGACAATCAGGGATGGGATTTGAGCTGAATCTTGAATGATAAGTAGTCTTTGATAGGTCCACATGTTTACAAAATTCAATCATGAATCACAAAGACATAATTGCTTTAAGATATAATCTTTTTTCTTTCAATGCCCTTTACTGCCCACCTGCCCTAGTAGCTGGGGAAGAAATAATAACAATGATAATAATAGCTGGCGTTTATATATCATTTTGTAAAGAAAAGTGCTTTCACATACTTCAGGTAGAAATGAGAAATATCACCAATACAGTATTAAAATGTATATGTTGCCATGATGTACATATGCCAACGTGTATATATTGTCAAGTGAAGGGAAAGACAGAAAGAAAATGAGGTTATTTGTAGAGCATTTCATTAAAAGAGCACAGGTGAACCAGCAGGGAGATGGTTCTATAAATATCTCCTGAGCAGTTTGAGAGGCATCTGCTTCCTCTCCTGCCATTTCAAACAGTGTCACGGGGTGACTAGCCCTTGGCCCCAGAGCCGCATAGCAGATGCAGCTATTTGAACTGTCACACATCTGATACAAGTGTGTCTGTAAAGGGGAAGGGAAGAGAAGGTTGTGATTATGAGCTGTATTGATGTTGTAATATAAAGTATTATGTCTTTCATAATAATGTCTTTCAATCAGAAATTGTGTCTCCATGTACAAATAAAATCAGTTTTACATATAAAGAATAAATGGATGAATGATGCAAACATGCAACAATCTATTCAATTTTGTAAGTGAATGAAACAGAATTGGGTTAAGGTAGGTATGTGAAAGATTCTGTATAAACCCAACTAAACTGAGTTACATCTATTAATGATGAGGGTGGAAGGAAGGCAAGGGAGGGAGACCTGGGAAGGAAATAAACATTTACATAGCAATTTCTATGTGCCAGGCACTGTACTAAGAGTTTTACAAATATTATCTTATTTGATCCTCACATTAACCGTAAGAGGTAGGTGGTGTTATTATCCCCATTGTATAGCTGAGGAAATGGAGGCAAATAGGGGTTAAATGACTTGCCCATTGTCACATAGTTAGCAAATGTATGAAAATGGATTTGAACTCAGATCTTCCTTACTCCATGTCCAGGACTCTATCTACTGTGACTCCTAGCTGCCTGAGTGAAGAAGAATACCATAGGAAACAACGGAATCAAACCAATCTACCACTGTGCTCCTCCATCCCATAAAGCAATGGTCTCCCAACTTTTTTGATCACGTACCACCATCTGTAAAAAAGTTTTATCGCACATAATCAGTAGATGTATATCTACCTAGATGAATGATACGCAAGCGTTACTGTACTAATAATTATACATGTGATGAAACATCTACAAAAATAGAAATTAAAAAGGATAAGATAAAGATGAATAGAGTAAGAATAAGATGTCTAACATTTATATAGCACTTACAAATATCTCATTTTACTTTCACAACAACCTTTGATTATCTTTATTTTGTAACACCTGGAAGGTGATACTATCATCTTTATTTTACAGAGGAGGAAACTGAGATAGAAGTTACCTGCCCAGGGTCATACGACTAGTATGTATCTGAGGCAGGATTTGAATTCAAGTCTTCTTGACCTATTTAGCCCTGTCTGGCTTACTACTCACTTCCTAGCCACCCCCAACCTACACCACTAAGTGCTTGTGCCTTCTCACCACCAGACCCAAAATTTTACTTCAAGTTCTTCTTTATGTGGTGTTTTCCCCTACTAAAATGGAACCTGACGACAAGGACTGTCTCACATAGTAGGTGCATAATAGTCGCTTTTGCATTCATTCATTCATACATTCATTCATAAGGCATGGCTCTCTGGGAGGTGATGGAGTGAAAGGTACAATGGGTGATATAAAAACAAAATATATCAATAAGAATTTAATTTTTATGAGATTGAACAACTGATTAGATATGTGAAATAAGGAATAGAGAATAAAACCAAGGTTGTAAACCCAAGGATAACCATGCCCTCAAAATAATGTCTCAAAGTGATCTCTTCCTCACCTGAAATCCCTCACAGAATTCTTCAGAACTGCCTTCTTCATGGAGCCTTGCCTGATTCCCCCCAAATACTAGTGCCCTTCTTCCCTAAATATGGTATATTTAAATACTTTCTATTCATTTGTATTTGTTCTACTAATGCTTACTCTGTGTGTATACACACCTGTCTCTCCGTGAGAATGTGAAAGAATGTCAGAGTAATGATTAATTCTTTGTATCATCAGCCCTATCAGAGTTTCTGACGTATTGTAGGTATTTAATAAATGCTCAAGTGATTGATGGATTGAACAATTTAAACAGAAATGCAGAAGTTTAGAAGAAGTAGGGGGAGGAAGATAAATTCTGTTTTCAACATGTTGAATTTGAAAAATCTATTTTGAGGTGTCTAAAAGGCAATTAGTGTTCAAGATAGTCTGGGCATTTTATGCATAGCATGTTTATGTCAACAAGTAAGAGAGAGCTGAAGAGATCCCTAGACAGAATCTTGGGGTATACCCACAGTTGAGGGTATATGTATGATGATCCAGAAAAAGAGATTGAGGAAGAACTACAACCCAAAGTGAAGAAAGTACATATACAGGAGGAGAGGATGGTCAACAGTATCAGATTCTAAGAAGAATGAGGACTAAGAAAAGTCAATGTGGCAATTAAGAGATCACTGGTTAACTTTGAAAATAAGAGTTTTAGTTGAGTGAGGAGTTGGGGTTAATGGGGAAATTTAGATCCTAGGACACTAGAAGAATGGTGTTACCCTAGATAGAAATAAAGGAGTTAAGAAGAATGAATTTTGGATGACAGGTAATGTAATTATAACTTTTGGGTACCTGCTTGTCCTGTGCTATTCACTCTTCTACCAAAAAAATAGGAGATGAGCTTACTGGCTGCTATCCCAGAGCACAGTTTGCAGAGCCCACTATTGTGGTGATGAGGGCTGGAAATGAGGGTGCACGGGCAAGGGAGTAGAGGAAATAGAGAATTTGGCCTGCCACCTATTCTAGGTGGCTGGATTGGCTTAGGTTAGAAAGGCCAAGAGGGGCCCATACTTGGGGCAGCTACGGAGGCCAGTGGTGAAAGGGGGAAATGAGGTGTTTCAAAGAAAGTAAGGTAGTCTTTTGGAAACAAAATCACAATTTGTTGGGGGAAAAGTAAGAAAAGGGGGTGGACCATGATCCATTTTCTCTTCTGATTGGTTGATCACAAACCCTTTGGAATCAAGCTATGGCCCACTTTGGGTCATTCCATAGGTGCTCTAGGGGGATGATGACCCACTCTGCCCTGAATGACAACATAAGACAAATGATTAAAAAATTAATTAGCCCATATGATCTCACAGAATATACCAGGGTCAATTGACAAAGGCTTGTAAATTAAGATAGTTCACTTAAAAAATTATTATGAACTTAACAATCTTCAATAAACACAAGTATTTCAAGATACAAAGAAGAGGAAAAAGGATAGTTTAAGAAATGGTCAACTTTGTTATGTGCAGGTTTTCTCTAAAGAAATATATAAATTAAATTTAACAATGGAGTAGCTTTCAGCCATGCCTCCTGGTTTTGCTCTCTAAGATCAAAAAATCTAATTACTCTCCCAGGTGGTAGCTCTTCAGCTATTTGAAGGCAGCTGTCATGTCCTTCCAGAGTCGCAATTCAGTCAGCCAGTCCTCATATGTCTTAGACTCAAGGACCTGAATTCTGATTGCTTTTCTCTATAGGCTCTCCATCCTTTTCAAACTATTCTTCCTAACCTGTAGCATCCAAGGCAGAACACAATGCTCCTCACCTGGCCTGAGTGGGACAGGCATCTCCTTGGGCACTCACTGGTTAGGGAGAGCTGAGGCATTATTATTATCTCAGACCATAGTGTTAAGCATAAGACATAGTTATTAGTACACTAGTATTTATACTTACTTATTTAATTTTTAAATAAGCAAATATACATATGTTTGCAGTATACACTAAAAAGCATTTTTTTTTTACTAAAAGGGATACATGCTTGAAATAGTTTGGAGACACTGAGGTAAGTAACATCACTGAAACAATGTGTAATAAGAAAAGGAGGTGGGCAGGCATGTCCTATAAGCGAAGGCTAACAAATGGAGTGTTCAGATGCTATATGGGGAGCTAAAATGTGAAAAGATATACAGGAAGGTCTATAATACATCAGGCGTATTTTCGGTATAGAATCTATGAAAGACTATGGTTATAAATAATACTGGATAAAAATACATGGATAGGAGCAATCTACACTGATAGAGAGAATGTCAACAATGGTGAAATCACTGATTCATCATAAACCATTTTACACAGTATTTTTCTCATAAAAGTCCTTTGGTAAAACAAAAATAAGAATCTGAGTGTAGCAGGTCCCTCCTCCCATCCTGTGCTCCACACAATCACTGTTCCTGGAAACTATATGAAAGTTTACAGTGTCTGCTTCCAGCCATGTATGATGAAGAGTGCTGTAAATGGCTGCTGGACAGAATTCAGTGGTTGTACAAAAGGGATGATTCACCACTCTGACTGACTCTTCCTCCCTGGATTCAAAGTGTGAAGACTGTTCTGAGTTTTCTCCAAAAATTCTGAAGAACAAACAGTGGCTATTCTGTCTCCCACCTCATCCCAGTGGCCATGACCACATATTCTACTTAGGCAAGCCTGTGCCTGGGATGAAGCCACTTCTCTTCTGTGTTTCCTTTCCCTAAGTAAATGACCTTGTCAGGTTAGAAAGGTCTGGAAGTCTGTGTTAGCAGCAACTGCCACCACCTTGTTCCCTGGCACAGGGAACTGGCATGGCAAGGGCAGAGGTAGTAACAAAGATCAAGGGAAACACCTGCATCAGAGCGAATGGTGCTCAAGAGAAAAGCCTGACCCTGTTTGGCTGGTTCATGCACAGGCTTGTCACCAGCAAACTATGTTATATCCTAAGAAGGTCAATCCTATTTCAACAATTTTGTTGATGTGCTCTGATTCTTTTT